GCTCTTGAAATTTTAATTATGATGTGTCTTGGTGTGGTCCTCCTTAGATTCCTTTTGTTTGGGGTTCTGCGGGCTTCCTGGACTTATAAGTCTAATTCTTTCACCAGGTGGGGGAAGTTTTCTGTCACTATTTCTTTCAGTATGTTTTCAATATCATGCTCTCTCTCATCTTCTGGGACCCCCATAATTCTGATGTTGGTTCGCTTGAAGTTGTCCCAGAATTTTCTTACATTATCTTCAATTTTCTGGATTCTCTTGCCTTCTTGATTCTGCGGAGGAGTGTCTTCTGGTTCTTTATGTTCCAAATCTTTGACTTGATTCTTGCGATCTTCCATTCTGTTTTTAGGACTCTGTATAATATTTTTTATTTCAGACAATGTATTCTTTATTTCTTGTTGATCCCTTATCATTTCTTGTTGATTCCTTATTAATTCTAGTTGATCCCTTTTCATATCCTCATAGGTCTTATCCATCTTTTCTAGGAAATTCTTGAAAAACTTTATAAGCGTAGATTTGAACTCTATATCCAGTCGCTTTTTGTCCTCCATTTCTTTCTTTTGTGATCTATTTTGTTGTCTCGGCATTTTTGCAGCTTCCCTGGTGGGGCGGGGGGGGGGGGGGTTCTGGGAGGAATCTGCAGCCTTGGCTTCCATCAGCCCCGCCCTATGCGGTTCCTGAGTCTCAGTAATCCCCAGGGTCCTTCAATACTCACTGCAAGCACCTCTGAGAGAAAGGTGCCCTCGATTTTTGCCTGCTACCAAACAGTCTAGCTCTCCCCCAATGGCCCGGAACTGGGGTTCAGTTCAGTTGGAAGTGGGATTGGAGGTGGTGTTCAGAGCAGTCTGGAACCCTTGTCTCCTTCCTGCCAGGGCAATCCCACGGCACAGCCAACCATCCCTTCTCTGCACACAATATGCACGCCTCCGGGACCTCCTTTCGCCGCTCCTCCCAGGTTCTGCCTTACAGCCCAGCTCCCTATGGATGAGCCTGGGTCCCCGGGGTCTGGCCTAGAACTGGGGTTCAGCGCTGTCGGGTCTGGGGTTCAGCACAGACTGAGCTTTATCTCCTTCCCACTAGGGAACGCCAGCCAGGCACTCAGCTGCCCCCTCCTCTCCGGCTCCGACCTCTCTGCGCACGCCGTGTGTCTCCGTACCTTAGGCTTTTACAGCTCCTCTGCTCTTCCTTCTGGTTTTCTCCTTGCTTCTCATTGTAGAATTTCCAGTCAGTCGACTTTCCTGTAGTTGTGGGTAATGTCCATTTTATATTTTAGTTGTATTTTATTGAAATTGTTGTGTGCGGCTGCGGCTTTGTTTACCTGTGCAGCCATCTTGGATTCTCTTAAAAAAAAAAAAATTATAAAATTTTATTTGAGCCAAACTGAGGACATATGCTGGGAAGCAAGATTTCACATGCTCTCATAAGGTTACCATTCTTAAAGTACAGAATCCAGGGTCTAACAGGAAGCCTACCATTCAGGCCTCAAAATATAATAATACACTAAATACCACACACAATAACTTACAGACAATAATAGGTGTCCTTGATTAAGGGCCTCACTGAACTGACTGCAATTAGTAGCCCCCTGGAAGATAAGTTATTTCCCAGGACAATCACATTGTCTGAGAAGTCAAACCTTAGGCCTTGGGATATAGTCAAAAGAGCACTGGACTAGTCATTAAGAGGTCAAGTGATTTACTCCCTGACTCACTGTGTAACCTTTAACCAAGGTACTTTATCTTTAGCGGTTTTTTAAACATCACATGTATTTTATATAGACTCTATCTCAGCCTTTTATTAGAGTAATCCTTTAAAGGATTAGAACAAAATAAGAGAACAGATGAACAGTGCCTTGAAAAAAGTAGAAACTCTTAAAAACAAAAGAACAAGTTAACTCATTCCAAAGGTTTCATAATCTTTGTCTACTCTTCACCAACTCTTGCCAGGCCATTCTCCTTACCTGGCCCTAAATGCAACTTCAATTTGCAGACCAGAAAATTTGAATTAAAGGTTCTCTAAGATCTTTTTACAGCTCTTGAAGTATATGATTCCCATTCATCCAATGACCAGAAGCACTTACTATGTATTAAGTGTTGAAAACACAAAAAATGAGTAAATCTAGTAAATATGCTAAAATCCAAGAATCATTAATAATAGACTATAGTATTAAAAGTTAATTGAGAGTCATTATTCTGCATATTACTGCTGTCAAACCTTGATATCTTACATACTATATAATAAAAGAATAATATGCAAATTAACCATAACTCCACTATACCTACCAGCCAATCAGGAGCAAGTATGCAAATCAACCCAACCAAGATGGCTGCAGCCACAGAGAGAACAGGAGGTTTGGATTTCCCCAGCAATGGAGGAAGCCAAGCTTTCTGCACACCCTGGCAAGCCTAGGCCTCCACTCAAGGCTACAAAGTTTCAATTATAGAAGATAAATAAATCCCAACAAAAATGGCAGCAGCCACGAGCTGAAGAGAGCAGGAGGCTTGAGTTGCCCCGGTTGATGAAGGAAGCCAAGTTTCTGCAGCCCTAGCCTGCCTCGGCCTCCACTCAAGGCTACAAAGTTTCAATTATAGAAGATAAATAAATCCCTGATGCCAGGGCCTCCACTTGAGTCGCTGGGGGGCATGGCTGGCCTGCAAACCACCACAGGTCCCTTGCCCAGGCCTCCCCACAGCCCAAAGTTACCCCCACCAAGATCCAGGACATCTTTCAGAGCAAACCAGCTGGCCCCACCCATGCACCAGGCCTCTATCCTATCTAATAAAAGAGTAATATGCAAATTGACCACTCCAACACATAATATGGCTGCCCACATGTGGTCAAAGATGGCTGCCCCCATGTGGACACAAGATGGCTGCCACAAGATGGCCAGCAGGGGAGGACTGTTGGGAGGGACCAGGCCTACAAGGGAGGGCAGTTGGCAATGATCAAGCCTGCAAGGGAAGGCAGTTAGAAATGACCAGGCCAGCAGAGGAGGGCAGTCAGGGGCAACCAGGTCTGCAGGGAAGGGTAGTTGGGAGGAACCCAGGACTGCAGGAGAGCAGTTAGGCATCAATCAGACTGGCAGGGGATTGGTTAGGGGGTGATCAGGCTGGCAGGCAGAGGTGGTTAGGGGCAATCAGAAAGGCAGGCAGGCAAGCAGTAAGGAGCCAGCAGTCCTGGATTGTGGGAGGGATATCCGACTGCTGGTTTAGGCCCACTCCCTGTAAACCAGCAGTCAGATATCCCTCGAGGTGTCCCAGATTGGAGAGGGTGCAGGCTGGGTTGAGGGACATCCCTCCATGCATGAATTTCATGCACTGGGCCTCTAGTATAGTAATAAAAGGTAATATGTAAATTGATCAATGCAGCTGCCCCCTGGTGGTCAGTGCACTCCCACAGGAGGAGCACCACTTAGCCAGAAGCCCTGAGCCAGCCTCATGGCTGACAGGCGCAGCAGCAGTGGCAGGAACCTCTCCCAAGTTTGTTCAACACGCTCCCCCACCCCAGGGCTCCTGGACTGTGAGAGGGCCCAGGAGGGGGGCGAGGGGACCTCCACCCCACGCACGAATTTTGTGCATCAAGTTCCTAGTTAATTAACACTTATCAAGCATTACAAAGCTGAAAAGTATTGGTTAGAAACTGAAGATACAGACTTTTAAGATTATTATGTTCTAAAAAAAACCCTACCATCTAATATGGCAGGCCGTATGGATGTCAATCTCTGTTCTTGCTAAACCTAGACTGGAGTTCAAGTTCTGATGTTAATGTACTGTATGATGTTTGACAAGTACTTTTTGCCTCTCTGAACCTGTTTTCTGTCCTATAAAATGAGGAGCCTATTCCTTAGTGGTCAAATTTATGTAAAGAGCAGTTCCTGGGGCATCAGCTCTTGTTTAAATAGCCACAGTTCTTGTGTGTGTGTGTGTGTGTGTGTGTGTGTGTGTGTGTGTGTGTGTGTGTGAACGCAGTGCAGGGACCTGAAAGAGTGAGATTTCTATTTACAAACAGAGAGCAAAACACTCTGCTGCTGAGCCGTTTCCTTCTCTCAAGACGCAAGCCTCCTCCGTTGCTTCCTATTCAGTGTCAGGCCGTCGTTTTGCGGCCCTAAAGTCTCACAGTCCTTCCAGTACGAAGGCAGTAACTTTTCCAATGCCCAACTACGGAAGTATGGAAAACTTCCTCTATTAAGGGGCAATTCTCAATCACTTGATTCCACTCCCTTCATTCTTACTCCGGTTGCCATGGCTGAGCCGCGTTTCTCAGCCGAGTAAATAAATGGAAAAGAACGCGAACCACACTTCATCAGATATAAAAGGGGACGGACTTTCTTCACGATGGCTAAGAAAGAAATCCCCAAAATCTACTTTGAAATCTTAAAAACAACAAAAAAAGCCCAAACTTGTAATGGGCTTGAAATAAGACTTTACTTCCCCAAGGTCAGTGGCCTTGGTGCTTCCGGGTTCTTTTCCCCCCACCCCCACCCTCCCTCCAGTCCCACCCCTCGCCCCCCAAACCTCAAAATCTCGCAACCCCATTCCCAAATCCAGCCTGACCTCTGCCGGGAAGGAGAGGTGCGGGGATAAGGAAGGAAAAGGGCGGGGGAGGCGGGGTGACAGGGAACTTCATTGTTCGCCGGGCCCCACTCTCCTCGGCAGGGCCGGTTGGCGGCGCCTGCGCAGTGCGCGCTCTTTGTGCCCCGCTGCAGCGGGCGGCTTGTTTGTGTGCGTCCGTCCCTCAGGGGTGCCGGGGGCGGGGCCGGAGGCGTGGCGTGCCCTGTCGGGCTCTGATTGGGCTTCCGCGGGGAGGTGGGCGGGCGATGGGGCGGAGCTTCCGATAACAACACTCGGCGCTGGAGCGGAGGCTGTTGGTTGCTGCGCCGCCACCGCCCGAGTCCTAATCTGCTCTCCGCCGCTCGCCTCTCTTCGCAGCAGCCGTGGCCCTGTCTTCTCCGGCTTCGCTTGCTCCTTCTCTTCCTGCCGAGCCATTTTCCTCCTTCCGGAGCTATGACCGTCGTCTCGGTCCCGCAGCGGGAGCCGCTGATCCTGAGCGGCCGCCTGGCACCTCTCGGCTTCTCCGCCCGCGGTTATTTCGGGGCCCTTCCGATGGTGACCTCGGCTCCGCCGCCTCTGCCGCGGATCCCGGACCCTCGGGCGCTGCCCCCCACTCTCTTCCTCCCTCACTTCCTAGGGGGGGACGGCCCGTGTCTGACCCCTCAGCCTCGAGCCCCAGCGCCCTTGCCCAACTGCAACCTCGCCCCGGCGGCGGGCACCCCTCGGGCCGCTCCCAAGAAGCGGCGAAAGAAGAAGGTGCGGGCCAGCCCGGCGGGGCAACTGCCCAGCCGCTTCCACCAGTACCAGCAGCACCGGCCGAGCCTGGAGAGCGGCCCGAGCGGAGCGCAGGAAGCCCCGAGCCAGGCCGCCGCCGCCTCAGCCCCCGGCCCTGCGGCTGCAACGCGACCTGAGGAAGCGAACCTCTTCCCCGGCCCGCTGCCCTCCGCGGCGCCCGGCCAGCCCGCGTTACGGAAAGAGGTGGTGAGTGCCGCGTGGGGCCGGGGACCGTTGGGAATTCGGCGCTTAGCCGGGCCCAGCCGGGCCCTGAGGCTTGGGGCTCTGCTCGTAGGGGGGTCGGGATGGGGGGGGCGGCTGTTTACTCGGGAGGGAAGTTTCCGTGACGCCTGCTCCGTTCGGGCGGAGGGGGGCCGGGGGAGGGAGAGGCTCGCGGCGGCGCTGCTGATTGGCTCCCGGCGGCCAGCCAATGAGAGGAGCGGCTGCGCCCCAGCAACAGCCCCGATTTAGAAGGCTGGCGGCGTTCCAGGGGGTTTCAGCGTTCCGGGCGCGCGGAGCGGGGGGAGGGAAGAGGGGCCCGGGGTGACGTCAGCGCGCGCTACGTGCGGAGCGCCGGGGCGCCGATGAAGGAGGCCCGGCCGGGGGGCGGGAGGCAGGGAGAGGGGTGGGGTCCCGGTTCCTTGGTTTCCCGGCGGCGGGCGCCTCCGGGACCAGGCGGCGGCGGGCGCTCACCCTAGCGCCGCCCGCCCGGGCGCGCGGTCCGGAGCGGGCCGCGCTGGCCCGACGCCTCGGGCTGGGCTTTTCGCTGAGCGGGGAGGGCGCCGCCCCCCGCGGCCCGACCTACTTAGCCGCGCTCTTCGGCTGCTCGGCGCGGACGGGGGCGGCGGCGGAGTGCCCGCTGCTTCGAAGCGACGGTGTGTTTTGTGCGCCAGTGTACCGGCTGGACGGAACTTAAAGTCTGCTGTAGACCGTGCGGGACTTCTTAGTGGGAGGTGGTTTGATTGTGTCCAAACGGACATTTTCGAAAGAAGAGTTATCAATTGGATCGACATGGACGTCATGCTGGCCCATTATTGTCAGGCAATTGGACTGGTGTAAAATGGATTAAAAAAAACCCCAGTGAGATGATTAAATCGTTAAGATGGTTTGAGATTAATCTTTACATATCAAGATAAAACTTTTTACTGACTCAACTTCAAACTTAATCTAATCTCACAATAATGGCATGAAAGTAAGCTACTGCCATTTGTTGAAAGGCTGTTGCGCTGAGAGATTTGCAGCTGTGCCTTTGGAAAAATTAAATTTGTTCGTGCCAGTTCCTTAAGTTATTTCAGATTGCTTTTCAAGTTTTAAAATTAGAAGGCTGTTCTGAAATAGTAGTGAGTTTTGGTCCTTTCTCTTCCAGAATGATATTAAACTAGGGAGCTCTATTAGCAGCTTCCCTGAAGACATGGAGTATGCACGGGTTCTTTCTGTATTTATGTCCTGCTTCCCTACCATATTTCAAGTGTTGGAAGGGTTATGTGACCTAATGGATTACTTTATACTTTGCATCCAGCCGTGCCTTCCTATAAGGAACACGAGTTAAGAAAATAGAATTAGTGTGGCAGCATTTTTGGAGAAGTTGTGAAACCAGAAAGTAGGGGACAGGCAGAAAACCTTTTTTTTTTTTTTTTTCCCTGATTTGCTATATCTGGAAAAGATGACAAAAAGTATTTTAGTATTCGAGTTTTTATTTTAGTATTTAAATATTTGAAAAATTTTGTTTTCAGAATCTAGGAGATAGTTTTTCTGGGTACTTAGTAACCATTATCAAAACATGTCCTCCCCTAAAATCTTGCTTTTGTTAATAAATTTTATTTATTTATTCTGAAGTAACTTTTTGAAAGTACCTGTCTTAAAGGTAAATAGTATACTTATTTTTTTTTAGTATACTTATTAACATAATTTTTATTTTTAAACAGACTCTCAACTAACCAAAAGCATTAGAAAGTTTTTCTTGGCAACATCCTATTGTAAAAACTGACCGTTGTAAGAGACAGGTTGGCATTTCTCTTCCTTACGGTTACAGAAAGATGGACTTGGGGTTCCTTTGGGTTTTTTACTCTTAACATTTTAAAACTGGCTTATACATTGCATAGTGGTAACAGTGATGATCAACTATATTTTCAGTAATATTCAAACAGATATGTGCATGCTTGGACATCCAGTGGTAAATGCAGCAAACATAGTTTTAACCAAGACAGTAAACTAAAAGTTCAATGTAACTATTTAAATATATATTAAATATGTAATATGAGGCTTGTGACTGGTTTCTATCATGAGACTATATTCACTTTTATGTTCCTTGTCTTTATAGGTTTTAAAATCAAACATGGGAAAATCGGAGAAAATTACCATCCCCCACGGGCAGCTTGTTCATGGTATGCACTTGTGTGAACAACCAAAGATAAACAGACAGAAAAGCAAATATAACTTACCACTAACCAAGATCACCTCTGCAAAAAGAAATGAAAATAACTTTTGGCAGGATTCTGTTTCATCTGATATAATTCAGAAGCAGGAAAAAAAGTATTTTAAAAACACCGAGAACATTAAAAAAAAGCATTTGAAGAAATCAGCATTTCTAACTGAAGTGAGCCAAAAGGAAAATTATGCTGGGGCAAAGTTTAGTGATCCACCTTCTCCTAGTGTTCTTCCAAAACCACCTAGTCACTGGATGGGAAGCACTATTGAAAATTCCAACCAAAATAGGGAATTGATGGCAGTACACTTAAAAACTCTCCTGAAAGTTCAAACTTAGATCTCAGTATGTATGTAAAACGAAGTTTTTCCAAAATCCCTGCATTCTTGAAAAGAAAATTGGTACAGAAATGGAAATTTGCCTTTTAACCTAGGAGGGCAAAAGATGGGTTTTAAAAAATTACAAACAGCTTGTATTATGTTTTATATTTTGTAAATACTGTATACCATGTATTATGTGTATATTGATACTTCAGAGGTACATTATAGTTTTGTTATAAAAGTATGTATTTTGCCCTGCCCAAATGGTAGGTGTTTTGTATATATACAATGGAGAAAATTTTAAGTGTGTGCTAAGGCACATGGAAGACCAATTTATTTGCACAAGGTACTGAGAGATTTTTCAAGAAACAGCTATCGAATCTCAAGGTGAAGATCTAAATGTGAACAGTTTACTAATGCACTACTGAAATTTAAATCTGTGGCACAATCATTGTAAACATGGGTTTATCTGTTTCTCTAAATTGATTTCTGCTTTCTAATCTGTAATTACTGGAAAACTCACTTTTACTAAACTTAATTTCTGGTTTTTGGTTTATATCTATATCCAAATTTAAAATATCTCTTCATTTCAATGCCAACAAAATTGGTTGTAATCAAATTCTAAAATAATAATTTGGCCCCTTCCTCCCCCTTTTATAGTCTTGACTCTTTGTGTGTGTGCCTGTTTCTCATGTTTGTGTGACTAGGAGGTGGATTCTAACTTTCACTTCACTGGCTAAAGGTGTTTAACTTTATACTAAATATCCATCCTCCATCTAGTACCTCTCAGGGGAGGAATTCCCCATTTTACAAATGGAAATGGTTGTGGTCAAAAGTAAAGCTGATTAGTTATAACTTAGAATATATTTATATATGAACTGTTTCATAAAGTACTATTTCACTTGACCATACCATACATTTTTAGTGAAAGAAATGACTTTTTCGGTTTGCTGGATTTATATTGGTAATGAGTGGTGGTACTTGAACCAAAGCAAGCATAATTGATGTTAAAATAATAGATGGAGATCTTGGATTCTGAAGCTTGCTTGAAGATAAATATGGCAGCTAATGTATTTTTGTTAAAATTTAAACTCTTCTTTTACTTCCTAGTATGTAGTTTTTAGTTACAAAAAGCTAAAGTTTATCTCAAATAAAAAGGAAAGTTTTTTTTTTTTGTATGGGCAATATTTAGACATGAAAAGAAAAAGGGTGTTAAGAGGATATATAAAGAGGATTCTATAAGGTAGAATAAAGGTGCTACCATCCTTACTAGAAGAAAATAAAAGGGTTCTATGGTTTACATTTTACCCTCAGACTATGCAAAACCAACAAAGGCTCATGGCTTGCAGTCTTAGGTCTTATCCTCCTGTGCCATTTGGTTCACATGGGAGAGGAGGAATTCACTTAACTTACTGGCTTTACAAAAGTTGATAGTGGTGTGGGCATCTTAATTTAGAATCACCATTGACTTCATGAGCAGTGAGCTGCCACAAAAACAATTTGCTGTCTTGTAGATGCAGCTCATACACAATTCAGGCAACCATTATTCTTTAGCACTGGCTTTTTTTGTTTGTTTTGGGGTGTGTGTTTTTTCTGTTGTTGTTATTACCCAAGGTTTTAGAGAGTGGAAAGAGGACAGAGAAACATCAATGTGAAACACTTCCCAATTGGTTGCCTCCCACACATGCCCCAACAGGGCTGGGATTGAGTCTGCAACTGAGGTATGTGTCCTTGACTGGAATTAAACCTGGGACCTTTCAATCTCAGGGCGGGTACTCTATCCACTGAGCCAAAAACTAGCTAGGGCTGGCTTTATTCTTTTATGTATGTAGAAAAAGCTATACTTCATTATGTATGTGTCACACACACATAGCTATATATAGCTGGCTTTAAACATGCATTTAGAGAAGAAAAATAAAAATTTGAAATCTTTATTGTTGAAAGTATTGCATGGGTCTCCTTCCCCCTTGACTTCTAGCATGCCCCAGGCCCTCAACCTATTGTCAGTGACCGTGGGTTATGCATATGTGCATACAAGTTCTTCAGTTGATCTCTTCCCTATCTGCCACACTTCTGAGGTTTGACAGTCTGTTCAATGCTTCTGTGTCTCTGGATCTGTTTTTGTTCATCAGTTTATTTTGTTCATTAGATTACACATATGAGTGAAATACTTCTTTCTCTGACTGGCTTATTTCACTTAGCATAATATTCTCCAGGTCCACCTATGCTGTTTTCTTTTTTACAGCTGTGTAGTAGTCCATTGTGTAAGTATACCACAGGTTTTTGTACCCACCTGTTGATGGACAATTGGGTTTTTTCCAAATCTTAGCTATTTTAAATTGTGCTTCTATGAACACAGGTGCACATATTCTGATTGTTGTTCTGATTTCTTAGGGTATATTCCTAGAAGTGGAATCACTGGTTCAAGTGGGAGTTCCATTTTTAATTTGAGGAAGCTCCATCTGTTTTCCACAGTGGCTGCACCAGTCTGCATTCCCACCAGCAGTGTACTAGGGTTCCCTTTTCTCCACATCCTTGTCAAAATTATTTTCTAGTAGATGAGCTTTTAGCCTTGTATTAATAAAAGACTTCCTAAGGGAAGTGTTAACTGGTAAAAAGAATGACTGGAATTCTTAAAGGCATGACATAAGGAAATAAGTATTTATATAATAAGAGCCTAAGCAACCTTTACAGCGGAATGACCAAAACAACCGGTCGCTATGATGTGTACTGACCACTAGGGGGCACACGGTCAATGCAGGAGCTGTTTCCTGGTGGTCAGTGTGCTCCCATGGGGAGCACTGCTCAGCCAAAAGCCAGGCTCAGCTGGCACGTGCAACAGTGATGGCTGGAGCCTTTTTGGTCTCTGCAACAACGCTAAGGAGCAGTGAGCTGAGAGGAAAAGCAGCAAGCAGGTGGGTGGTAAGGAGTGAAGGGCCCTGGACTGTGAGGGATGTCTGCAGGGAGGGAGCCTAAGCCAGCAGGTAGACATCCCCAATGGGGTCCCAGACTGCAACTGGGCCTCTAGTAAAGTAATAATAGATCTTATAGTTTGAAGAGTGAACAAAACGAATTAGACTTCAGGTAATGTTTAGTGACAAAAGTTGAATAGGTTTGGTGTTACAGTAAAATACTACTTAGCAGCCTTAGTCCCTTCTGTTAAAAAATACTAGAGGCAGGGTAGCTTATAAACATTTGTTTCTCACAATTATGTACACAGGGAAATTGAGCTGATTTGGAGTCTGATCAGAGAACTCAAATGGTGTCTTCATTGCATCCTCACATGGCAGAAGGGTGAGGGAGCTTTTGGGGGCTGGTTTTGTTTGGCACCAAGACCATGCATAAGGGTTTTGCTCATGTCCTAATAATTTCCCAAACATTTTACTTCCTAGTAATCACCACCTTGGGGTTAAGTTTCAATGTAAAGTTGAACCATATGCACCCCAGTTATTATTCAGCCACCTTTATTTTTCTCCCATTGAAGTCTCTTGTAGAAGTTTTTCCAATGTTTCTGTATAATATTCCTTTGGTTTTGTGGGTATGTAAAGCAAGCATTGTGTTTGCAATCGAAGATCATTTTGATTTGCATTTTGAACTTTTGAGGTGTATGTAAGATATCCACTTGGGAAAACGTGGCAAGTATATGGAAGATAGGTCAGGCCTAGAGGTATACCTTTGTTAATGAGAACATGAAAATGGAACTGAAATATTTTGTTTTCCTACATGCTTTTGCCTTTCCCTTCATAAGGCTTCACAGTTACCAGTGCTCTTGACCCCATCTTCTTGCTTCCTATAGACTCTCAATGTCATCTGTGACAGTAAATTAGTTGTTAGAAAGTATTTCCTCTGAAAGTGTTAAATGGTGGTTGGTTCTCTGCCTACCTATAAAAGTCTGTTAGTGGGCAACCCTAGCTTAAGTTCTGAATTCTGATAGTAGGGGCCCACTTGGTGAAACAGAGGAATAAAGGTTTTCTTAGTTCAAGATTCGAAAGTGGGTAAAACTATAATAATAAAAGCATAATATGCTAATTAGGCCAGACGAAGCCGGAGTTGCGTGGGAAGCCCCGGTCCTGGATGCCAAAGCAGTTGGGGGAAGGAAGGCCTACTCTTGCATGAATTTTATGCACCAGGCTTAGTCATTTATAACTGGTTTTTGAACCTTTCCCTTCTCCTAATTACCCGCCCATCACATTGCCAAATACATTATCCTTTACTTAGAGGGTGGGAAGCCCTCCAACTCCCATGTCCTCTATGCAATTGATAGGTGTTTCAGGTTGAAAGGATCAAACATTCTTATACTTGGATATGAAAGGCTGATAGCCTCATCCTCAAAAAAAAAAAAAAAAAAATATATATATATATATATATATATATATATATATATATATATATATATATACATACACACACACACACACACACACACAAATTTTTGAAGGGCATTGCTGAACTAAACATATTTTAAAATCACAGGTCTGCCTTGCTGAGCACCTGACTCCTGAGCTAACTCCAAGTTTTTGTACTTCATTGCTTATTCCTGAATCTATAAATCTTTCAAAAATTTCCAAATACAAGTTTTCAAATGGGGAAAGAGTATGTTTGATGCATAATTGTGTAAGCACAAATCATGTAATTCAGAAACTACTTGTTTTTAAATCTGAAAGAAAATTTGAGTACATTTTTCAGAATGTTATTTACAAACATAAAAAAGTTAATCTTTGAAACTTTCTTGAAAATTTTAGATAGCATTCTCTGAAGGTGTGGAGTGGACGAAGTTTTGCTTTTTAAGAGTTTAGAAAATATTTTACACTTGAACTCTTTAAATCTCTTGGATGAGACTGTCTTTAATGAATCTGACGGTTTTCAGATCATTTTTCATCTTTTGTAATTTTATTGCAGTTCTAAATTAAATATGCTAAAATGTATAAGTAATGTTTTGAACACCCAGGAATTATATTTGTCAAATTTAAAACATCTATTATAACCCCCCTCAAATTAATTAGAATTTAAAATTTATAA